CACAGCCACTCCTTGACACGCAGCACCTGCTCCACGGTGAGGTTGCTGTCCTCCTGCAGCTCCGTCAGCAGGYGGTGCGCGGCGTCGGTGCAGGTGCGGTAATGGGCGCACTCTGCCAGCAGCCGGGCAGTGGCGTCGGGCACACCKCGCTTGGCGCTGCCCGAGCGGTGGATGGTGCGCGTCTCGGAGCGCTGCCGCTGCTCCAGAGCCTTCTGCAGGTTCTTGATCTGCAGGTGCAGCTCCTCGATGTGCTCCGTCTCCTTGYGGCAGTTCACCACCGCCTTGTTCTGGATGTTCTGTGCCCGGTTGGCGTAGTTCAGCGTGTTGAGGCTCTCGTCGAAGTCCGAGGAGGAGGGGCTGACGCAGGCGATCATCACGGTCTGGGCGTTCCCCCCRAGAGAGTCCTTCAGGATCCTAAGGAAGAGCATGGGGATTCAAACAAAATAACACAGGAAACAGAGYGTTTTCAACCCCTTTCAGAGGCTAAGCCCAAGGAAAATGATGTTCTTGCTCTCTAGTTGGTTTGGCACTAGTGAGGTGAGTGGAATCATGAAGCAGAGGATTAAYGGTTTGTACCACAGCAAATTTCCATCCAAAGAATTCCTGAGGTTGGGAGCACCCTGATTCTCTGATCGCTGTGCTGCCAGGGGTCCTGCTGGAGATTGCAAAGGCCACCTGCTCGAGCTAAGAACTAACTGCAGACCATTAAACAAGCCTGCTGGAAGTAGTTTTTGTTCCCTGCCAGGCAGAAAGGGCAGGATAACCCACAGTGACACCTCATCTCAGCTTCAGCAGCACGACTCACGCAAGCCTCATCATCTTCAATGAGCTGGGCCTGTCATTTTTATCCTGGCCTCACTGCTCCTCAAGATWCCCTACAGGAAAACCCACAGAGAGGGCAGATCTGTAAACTGAGCCCATGAGATGTGGGGRGTACCTGGTGATTTTGGAGTCCCTGTACGGGATGTGGGTGGTCTTTCTCCGAGGATCACCCAAGGCACTGATGACGTTGCCCAAGGCCAGGAGGCCACAGTTGATCTGGATACTCTCCTTYAGCCTCTCCCCCGTGTTTCCCGTCTTCACAATTCGCTCTGAGCCCGCCAGGTCCACAAAATGAAACTTGGACACCAGGACCTGTCCGGCGGCGGGCACAGCGGCGGGGCAGTGGTGCAGGGGCAGCCGGCCGGCCCCACGCCGCTGCTCCATGGTCACCGTGAAGATGGTGTGCGAGCGGCTCGACTGCCTGTTGATGTGCGTGGCTCCCGTGTGCTTGGCCGTGTTCCCCATCTCCAGCAGGCTCAGCACCTCGTCCAGCCCCTCCACCTCCGACTCCTTCACGCCGCAGAGCACTGCAAAGCAAAGRCAGCGGTGGCTGGGAGGGATGGGCTTCCCAGGACGCAGCTCCTCTGCACAGCCTGGTGCTGTGTCCTCCCCTGACCAGCTTTCAGGACAGCAAACTGCTGCAGGACACAAAGGGATGG